TATTTATATATATATATATATATATATATATATATATCTTTCAACTAACAATTTAATTATTTAATTCGTTATTAAATTCTTTTAAAGGTAAGAGAGCTTCAAGGAATTTTTTATACAAAATGAACTATTAATTTTAAACAATAAAGGTAATACATTGCATTTACAATCGGATAAAGTTTATTTTATAGTGTTTGTTTTGTTTTTAAATAAAATTATTATGCTGTGAAATCGTAATATCTATCATGGATTTTTTTTTTCGCTAATACTGTGATGTGTAATTTCTTCTACAACTTTTGTAGGCATTTCGACATTTTAAAAAATTTGATTTGTCAGATATTATATTTACATCGATAAAATTTTATAAAATATAAGGTTAGAAAATCTTTATAGTAGATAGTGCTTAGATAAAGTGTCTTGAAAACAATTGAATATTTTAAAAAAAAAATTTTTTTTTTCTTTAATCTTTCGGTATGATATCGGAAGCGATTTATCTAATATTAGAAGTTGTGCAAGATAATGTTAGATTTTACTGATTTCCTGATGTCATCTAATATTAGGTGCTACTTGGTTAAGTTACAGTTTGTCTAAAGTAAGTACTCCCCTAGCCTTTTGTCTGGACCCGTTTCGGTGACTATAGTAACGAGGTATAACTATTTCAAATAGGGGTGTGGGATCATTGTATAGGACAGGTTTCGGCGAGAGAAAGGGAATCTTTTTCTTCAGCCTACTGTGTTAGCCCTAGAGAGTGAAGTGAAGCTACCCTCCTTGAAATGCTTGATTCTTGTTTCCATAGCAGTAGACTGCCTCAGAGTATGTGGCGGGCTGAATTAAGTAAAAAATTTTATTAACTTTAAAAGTAAAAATACAATTTGTTATCCATTTTCATATTTTATTATATTGTTATATTCTGATGCAGAACTATTACAAATAAACACTTACTATGAAAAAATGGTAATAAAAATATTTTCTTGATGCTGATAATAAGATAGAAAACAAAAAAAAGGTAAACCTAAAAACCAGTTTTTCAGTTGCCATCGGAAAAATAAAATCTGCACTTCCTTACATCTACGACACTTGCTGCTAAGCAACGCATCATTGTAGTGCTAAAAATTAGCAGTTCGTAAGAAACTGTTAGCAGTTGCTAACTGTTGATTAATATTAGCACTGCTAATTTAGCTGCCAAGCATTTAGCAGCCCATCTCTGGTCAAATGTAAACATGACGAAGAACCCTATGAAATTTTCTTGTTCGGGACAATGACCCAGTTCGATCTTAATTATTCAATTATTGAATGATTAATCACTATTTTGTGTTTAGTTTTCTGATTACGAGTACATAGTGTTTAATTTGTTTCCTTTACTCTAGTTGAGCTAAAAAAAAACTTTATTTTGCGAAAACCAAAAAATAAATCGCTTTATTTAAGACTAACGTTTACCATTTTGTTCTTTTGATTTCTCTCCTAACTCTTCAAGATGAGTGAAATAGATAAACGTCCCGAGTGTAAAATTTGTTTCAAACGATTCAGTAGAACGGCTAATTTAACTAAACATCTCAGAATACATAATGATGACAAACCATTCCAATGTGAAGTGTGCCATAAGAGATTTACTAATGCTTCAAATTTAATCAGGCATTGCATGACTCACACAGGTGAGCGAAATTACCAGTGTTCCATGTGTTCAATGAAATTTACCGACCCTTCTAATTTACGGAGACATGTGTTAATGCACACCAGTCGAAAAGCCTACCAATGTGAGGTGTGTTTTAAAAACTTTTCTAGTATATCTAACTTGCAAACACACAGCCGCATACATACGGGGGATAAACCGTATGAATGCGGTGTGTGTACCAGAAGTTTTACTCAATCTTATGACTTGAAACTACATCAATATGTCCATACTGGTGAAAGGCCTTTTATATGTGACTATTGTCCGAAAACCTATTCACATCCGTCAAATTTACGAAAACACCTCTCCAGCCATTATCGAGAGATGACTTTTGGAAAAGCACGTAGAGGTAGGGCAGCTAAAAATATCCAACCAACAGAAAGTGAAGAAATCCTACCCGTGAATGATATTCATACTATATATGATCCTAATGACATTTCTAATAGCGAAGAAACTTTAACTGAAGGTAATAATGAAGCGACATTTAATATTTCTGGAGATATTGAACATAGTAAAGGTGATGAAACAACACAAAGTGATGTTAATCCTGCAGAAGACACTGATAAAAATTATAAATGTGATGTTTGCCACAAAGGTTTTTCAACATTATCTAACTTACAATTTCATGCTCAAAAGCATAGGGGTAATAAACCATATGAATGTAGCATCTGTAACAGAGGATTTTCTCAGTTTTACGATTTGAAACTGCATCGATATGTGCACACGGGTGAGCGTCCGTTCAAATGCGATTTATGTACTAAATGTTACTCTCATCCTTCTAATCTAAGAAAACACCATAAGACGCACAGTTTGGATGTCAGTACAGATGGAAAGAAAAAGAAAAATACTAACAATAAGAAGCGTAATATAAAAGCCAAAAATGTCAATGTTGATCGAAGGAAAGGGAAAAAAAGAAAGGTATCAAAAACTAACAACGAGAGTCAAGATATTAATACCAAAAGTGCTGAACTGAAAGATACTGATAAAAATGATACGGCGGACATAAAAGCAGACAACAAAATAAACAATTCTGAAAGTGATGAAACTGGAAGTGTTTTAACTGAAACTAATGATGATGAAAATAGTAAAATAACTAATAGTAATGAGGATATTATATATAATGTAGTTTATAATATTATAGAGATTTTAACACATAAAGAGACTCATGGTAATTGATAGGTTACTTGCTAGTTGATGCTTTTATAATAGTTAAGGTAAAAACTACACTTTATTAATGGAAATAATAACTTTTTTTGTATAAAACCATACTTGAGCTTTTAAATGGATTTGTGAAATTCCCCAAATATTTAAATGCCTTGACTTTAATTATCTTACTCAACTTTTTTTCTATTTCATAATGCTAAAGTATTAGTTAAAATCTCTGTTCACATGTAAAGCAGACTTTAAATGCCATTTTGCTGATATAATATCAATCGCCAGTGCAAGTAAATTCAACAATTTAATTTATTTATACTGTTTATTTTCCAAGAAAATAAAGCATTCACCTAATAAAGTTTAAAAGAATAAAAAACTGTTAATTTTACTTGCATTTTGCGATTTTGCTTCGACTGCACCAGCAAAATAGAAAAGTACAGAAACCCCCTAAGGTTGGAAATTGAATTAAAAATAGGTTTTTGATGTGTGATAATTTTAAATATGGATAGAACTGTCATATTAAAAGCAAGTCATAAAATCCTACTTACTGTCAAAAATTTCAGATATAACATTTTTGTAATATAAGCTTAAAATTACAAACATAATTACAATTATCGAAGTATATACGTTGATAATCATCAACTCTTATGTACTATTTTTTTTTTTTAACATTTAAACAGCATTCTAAAATATCTGTATTTTTTTCTCCTTACAGCTTAAAGAATTATTATTTCAGAAAATGTAAATTTTTTTTGTTTTTTTAAATAAATATATTTATTATGCAGGGGTCTGTCCTGGCCAAATTTACTACCGTTTAGCGGTACGTTCACAAATTCAACTTTAGGAAAAATGATAGCTTCACAAAATACTTTTTCTCAAAATTTTATTTTTGTATCCCATAAGAAACTGTAAATCCACATTTTTGTGTTGATTTCTTAATATAATTTTTAATTTTCACAAATTATGTCTAAATTTTCGCAAATTAGGTATCTCTCAGAAAAACCTAGACAGACCCCTGTTATGTATACTTATGCTTGTTTTTTTTTTTTTTTTAAATTTGCTTTGTTATTGGAAGATAATTTTTTTAAATTATGTATTACTTCATTCATTAGGTTCTTTAAAGTATTTAAAGGTTTTGTAATAATCTTCAAACACTTTTAAGAATTTGCTATATAATATCAATTAAGAATTTAAGAATTTGCTATATTTGAATTGAATTGTATTACATATTAGGAATTTCATGATAATTTTCAATTTCAAAATTCATATTAATTTCAAAGTATTTCATTATTTAACATCTAACAGTAATTATTACTTAGTAAAATATTCATTGAGTGACCTAATTTTGTAATGACCTCATTTGAAATTAAAGCAACAAAAATTGTTTAAGTGGTATTCATATTTTTAACAGTTGTTAATTTTTATTATTAAATTTTATTATTTTATTTTTATTATTACGATTCAAATTATATGTTGTAAAACAGCAATTACCTTTTTTCCTTTTATGATTTTTTCAGCCTTCACCTTAGGTTTTTGACAGTTTAAACCAGTTTCAATACTTATGTCCAAAATCTAACATGATCTATCCAGATCATCGGTTCCAAATTTTTAACGGCTAGGGAAGCCACCCTAAATGATTGAGCATCTTTTGGCAGCACCTCTAATTCTAAGTTAGTAAACACAAATTAATAGCTGTGAACATACTGACAAAGAAAAAACAATTATTTTGATTACATTAAATGTGAAGAATGAAATTTATTCAGTCATCATTTGATTATTTTATATAAAAGTTCGATTAAAAATAAAAGTGCAATTTTCTATTAATGCCTATTCTTTTTATAATTTATTTAGTACTATATTGTTATTGGAAGAAATATTTTAAAAAAAATTTAACTACTTTTTTAAAGCAAGATATAAAATAAACAATGGTTTAATGTTTAGATATACATATATGTAATAGGTTTAAAAATTTTAACTCTCAAACCCTTTCGAGTCCTACAGAACACCATTTGGAAGCTGCTGATCCAGATCAACCTATTAAGTGACAGACTTAATCTGTAAATTAGCTTTAGGGTCAGTCTGAAATTTATATTTCTAATATAAATGTGTGATTTTGCTATACTTGTTTTACATAATTTTTCTTTTAATGACTACCTTTTGACTCTTTGGCATTATGTAAGCACTTAAAGAGGAGTGGAGGTTTGTGATCTGTTTATTTTTGCTGACAAAGGGAAGAAGAGATGTGAGAGATAAAAGTCTTATTATTTTCAAAAATATTTCTAAATGCAATAAAAAAATGCTGCCAAAAATTCAATTGAAGAAATTAATTAATTTTGCAGAAAAAAAAAAGTTTTTTTTGAAAGAGTTACAGAGGTTATACTAAAGATTATAAATTGAATAAAAATATGTTTGGTTTTTGCAAAGTTGCATCTTTTATTTGAACTTTATTCTAAAATTAGATTACTACATTCAAAGTTAAAATCGAGAGGGTATAGCAATTGTAAGCTTGACTATGCTTCTGTGAGTTGCTTATTTTTGCTGAGGGAGAAATGGAGTGTTCAACATTGCCAAAAATGTATTTATGTAGCATTTAAATGACTCTTTTGTTCAATATATGTTAAAATACACTATTTCGAAGCTTAAACTAAACCAAAAGTTATTTACTATATAAATTTCATAATGTATGTTTTTTGGTGTTGTATTTATAATTAATCAAAATTTTTGTGTGTGATTCCTAATTGCTTTAATAATTTGATCTGAAAAAAAGGGAATCAATATTTTTTCTTTCTGCTATGAGTCAACTATAAAACGTATTAGTGCAAAAAAAAAAAAACATTTTTGTTTTAAAGCATTAGCATTAACCTAACCTAATTATTAACCTAAGGAAATAACTCTGCGCTATGAAGGTTAATGCAATTCCGGTGATGAAAAAAAAATCTCGGTAAAATTTGTATGTATAATAAATATAACTGCAAATAAACTGTCCAAATTTATTTACTTTAGATCAAAGTTATTATATTTCTTATCGAAAACATAATTATTATGCTTGTGGACGATGGATGGAATTTTGTATAAATTGAATTGGTTCTGTGTACAAATTATATAATAAATGTATTTTTATAATTGTTTTCAAAGACTTGTAATTCTGTTATATAATATGATTAATAAAAAAATAAATTTCATCTTTATTATATATTTCTCTAATGTTGTTATTATTAAAGTCAAACCTTATTTCAGACTATAAGCAACAGCTGTTATGTGACCAATCAATAGCATACATTCCAATTTTAATTTCTGATGTTTGTATTTTTCGGAGTGCTAGGTTGAGGTAGGAATGTAAAATATTTAGATTTTGATTGAGGAGGAATCAATTAACATGAGGGAAGTGATACTAATATTTAAATAAGGAAATAGTTTTTAAATTTTATTTATTGAAGGTGGTAGAAATTTATGTGATAATTTTTCTGACCAGTTGCTTTTAATTTACATTTTTTCTTTTATAAATTTTAATTGACATAATTTGATATACACTGATCTTGTATTATGCTATAACAAAATTTTTAAAATTGAAATAAAATTTTTTTAACACGAAGTAAAGAATTAATGAAATAGAGTAAATTTTCCTACCAGGCCTCCCAAATCGTTCCCCTTTTCCCATTTGTTCCTATTTTTAGTCTCTTGGGACTGCTTTATAATTTTATTCTTAAATTTTTTTCATTGAAGTAATTAAACTAGATTATCTCATTTCTCAATATATATATATACATATAAATGTGTATGTGTATATAGCGCACCACAGCAAGAAAAGTGACACAAGTCAAAAAACAGAAATTTGAGGTTATGTCAATAGAAAATATGTATGAAGTGCCCCATCAATCTCAAAAAGCGTCTCATCTCTAGATTGTACTATTGCCGAATAAGTTTTATAGTATTATGTAAGTTGACTTTTCTGAAATGCTGTTTTTGACTTGTGTCACTGTTTTTTGACGGGGTGTGATATATATTAGGAAGTGGTGATTGTGACACGAAGTGAAAAACCCTGAAAATTTTATGTGCCAAAAATCGATATTCAGATAACAATTCATATACCATACATGTTTCATATAATTTTTTGAACTAACATTTATAATTAAATTACCCTACTAACGAAGAATATCACTTTATAATAATTTAATTCAAGAAATTACTTCTTTCAAAAATCGCGATTTCGGATTTTAAAATCTTGTGAATATGAATAGAGATATTGGACTTCAAAAACACGAAATTCGATATTGAATTTTTAAATCGCGTCAATGTGATTTACGATGTATAATTTTTGAATCACGTGAATAATATTCGGAGTGCACAGTTTGTAATTCACATGTAAATACGAAAATCGATATTATAATCGCATGAATACGAATTGCAATATTGTATTTTAAACTCTTGTGAATAGAAATCAATATTGGATTTTTAAATCGATGTTTTTGAACTTAATATGTGTAAAAAATATTTCTAATAATGTATAGTAATAATTACGGTTTTAGATTATTTTTATTAAATCTATTCAAATTCCAAAAAAAGAAAGTAGAAAAATACTTTGCCAAATATTTGGTCAACCAAATATTCAGAAAAAGTGCCGAATACTGAATATTCGTTACATCCCTAATATATATATTATATACTTAAAGTGAAAATTCCAAAATTACATTTTTCTGTCATTTTGAAATGCACGAGTCCTTTGCAAAGAAAGGGTGCTACTCTTCAATATTTTTGGTAACATAATTTAAAATAAAAATTTTGTTTATCACTTGTTCATTTTGTAGACATAAAGCTGTTGCACTATTCAATTTTCTAATTCTAGTAGAACATATTAATGATTTAACCTTTTAAATCATTTTATTAATATTTAGTAGTGAAACTACTCAGTAATCTAAATTTTTTAATGAACATTCCAGAAAAACAAAGATTTTGTTACCTTGAAATGTTCATGTACCATTTATTTACTTTTATTCAAAATGATTAAAGCCTATTATTTTGGTTATTCAAATTTTGAGGATACTCTGTTAGTTTTATACAAATGTTTCAAAAATATGATTTTACATTCCTTATTCATTGCTTAGAATTCATGAGTGATTTGATAAAAAATAATTTTTTAATTGCAAAAATATTTCTATTTTTCTTAATTAACAACATAATGCTTTTACAAATATTATTTATATATTGTGTCTATAAATATAATCCTGGATATGTATTTGTCCTAATTTTCCTGATAACATTTTCTGATTTTTAGCAATTTGTTTTGACATTCCTAACTTTTTTGTTTGTTCAGAACTTAAATTTCAATGAGCTGACAATTTTAATAGAATTATCTTATTTTTTGAAGAAAAAAAAATTACTTTCACCAGATAAGAAAAAAAGGAAAAACTAGACTTCTCAACTTAAAAGCTAGTAGTTCAAAAAGAGAAATCTAAAACGTTTTCCAAATGCAGAAGATATAGTGACCATGTCTTTATATTCTTTTTTTTCTCAACAGATTGAATTATTGCTGAATCAGTATTGGAAATTTTTTTTTTAAATGAATCCCACCCTTTTTTCAGAATAGTTTTCTAATTTTGTTATACAATTATTTTTATCATAAATCAACAAAAGTCACATGACCCTTAGTTAATTTATCAATTACTGAGGAAGAATAATTTTTTTAATCAAATAAAACCTTCCTTCTACATTACAATTTCTTTCTTTCTTTTTCTTTAAGTATCTAATCATGCATCAGTTAAACTTCTAAATATGCCCAATATAAAACTTAAATACTGCTTTGTGAGTATTCTGTTGCAGTTCTAGAAAATATTGTAAGATAATTATCTGCTATAAATTAACTGTTATTTTTTACTTGATCAGTGAAAACTGCAGTTGTTTAATTAAACAGCTATGCAAGAATTATTTGCATTTATAATCAATATTTGTTCTTTGAACAAGAATGAAGAAATTATTCTATAGTTATGTAAAGTAAATCAGTTATTTAAAAAAAAAAAAAGAATTATATTTAAACAAAATAATTTTTATTCGGTAAAAAGATTAAACTATAACACTCTGAAATAAAAATTTCTATTTTAGTTAATAGATACTTTCTAAAATGACAATTATACCTAAATAAATTGAACAAATATAGTCCTAAATTTAAAAAAAAACAAACTATTCAAAGTGTTTATTGGTTTAAAAAAAACATATTCTAAGTTTGTTTTACATCTCAGACAGCAACAAAAGAAACCGATAATTAACACCAGAATACTTAAACCATACGTACAGTCTGCAAATATAAGAAACGAATCACCCATATAACTTTTAAACATTTTGTTTTCATTCTGTGAGGTGTTATGACAATATCTCAAGAAAATCTTTTAAATTATATATAATAGTTAACTGTATCCATGATGGAATATGATTATTAGAAAAACGCACTTTTTCTGCAGACACATGAAATTTTTTATTGCATTTGATTTAGCGTGCAAAAATAACATAATATGCTTGACTATTAGGGAGGCCTACAAAGACAAATGAACAGTTGTCATGAAAAAATGGAATATGCCGATATTTGGTATTGGTAGAAACAGATTTACGTATCGTATATTATAACTTGGAATTCTTGCTGCCTTTATGTAATTCATTGTGTTAACTTTTCAATATGCGGATAAATAATTCAAAAGCAAAGGCAATATTTGCAGATTATTTATTACGTAAAACTATCAATCTTCGCTGTGCAGTAAATCTGACCTCTCCAATTAATAATATAAATAAAAACTGGTAGTAAGATTTTTTTCCTCAAAGAAAAACTAGGAAAAGAAATATTTTACTACTTTCTAATCTGGCTTATTAATTCAAGTAGGCAGAGTGACTTTTCCTGACAATAAACATTACATTATTCCCAAAATAATTCTGTTGGCAATTTTTGTTTTGAAAGTAAAATGTTTTTAAAAGACAGAAGTTGAACTTAACATGATGCTCCTGCATCCGTTTAATTATAAAAACAAAAAAGATAAAAACTGGTATCATAGCTTCTTATCACTTAAAATGAAGAGTGCAAAATGATATATTGTGTGATAGATAAATAACACGAAGCTTTGAATTCATATCTATAAAAATGTAGTAATTAAATTTTAAAGATTAAGAAAGTTCGAGCTACATAATAAAGAATAACTTTATATATTCATTAATAAATTATCATTTCTCACTTTCTATATCCTTGAAAAGAAGAAAAAAAAGCAAGTCTTTAGAAGGCATTTATCGTGGATAGAAAATTTTATTTCCAGATTTCTTCTGATTAGTTGTTGCCAAGTCATCTTTTCATCAGAGACGGTATTTTAATTAAAAAGGAAATTAGTGGCATTAGCATGATTTCATTATTCTAATTTATTTTGGTTAAGCATATAATTTGTGTTCACCAAAAAAATTAAATAACTTTTATTCATGTAAGGAATTATGTGCACATTTTACTTTGTTAAATTAAAATGGAAGCCAATGTTCACATAGTGCATCTTCAGTGTTGAAATTTATGCAAAATACAATCAGAATTTATTTTATTATTATTTTAACCCTTCAATGTGCTATTTAATTTTAGCAAAGGCAAATTAAAATATTTTTGTATTTGATTTAGGAAAAAAAACTGTTAGCTTCTTAAATAAAATGTAAATTATTATGCCATTTTTTTTTTAATGGTAAGTATGTTTACCGTGGCCTACTACGAGTTATAAAAAGTTAAGGAATTTGAATTTTTTTTTAATTTATAAGATAAATTTTGTTACGTTGTTGTAGTTCATTTACGTCGCACTAGAGCTGCACAATGGGCAATTGGCGACGGTCTGGGAAACATCCCTGAGGATGATCCGAAGACATGCCATCATCCTCTGCAGAGGGGATGGCACCCCCGCTTCGGTAGCCCAACGACCTGTGAGCGAAGTCGAGCACTTTACGGTAGCACAGTTTAACGAGGACCAATACCGCACACCCTCGGTCCCTGACCGCAGCCAGTGATGCTTGACTTCGGTGATCTGCTGGGAACCGTGTCTTAATGATTAGTACACTACGGGACAAATTTTGTTACGATTACGTATAAAATTTTATTATGACTACCTGTAAAATAAAATTTATTAAGAATAGGGTATCGAATTTTATTCAAATTTTCTTCATCAGAGCTACAAATTTACGTATAAAATTTTATTATGACTACCTGTAAAATAAAATTTATTAAGAATAGGGTATCGAATTTTATTCAAATTTTCTTCATCAGAGCTAAGTTAATAATAAATGGAAATTCAAATTAAAAGTGGTAAAATAGTTTATCATGGACTTTTAAAATTGGTAGTAAGTATACTTACTATAGCCTTAGTAATAGGTTCATTAGTTATGTAATTTGGTTTTAAAAAAAATTCGTTAGTGCTAACTTCTTTCACTTTTCAAAAAGATTCTCTCCAGAGAGTTTATTTATGTAACTTTTATGAGTGTCTTTCCTATATATATATTTTTTAAATTATCAATTTCTATTTACAGAACATCCCATTAATCTCTCAAAATGTGCCAGTTTTGAATTCAAGTTAATAATATCAAATCTGATTCGCCGATGTTAAACAATTGATTATAAGATTTTTTTAAAAAAAAATATCCTATTTACTTTTTTTTCTTTAAACTTTTAATTCAATTAAATATAGAATATAACAATCTTTTACTTACAAAGTTTCGTAAGTACCATTGAGACATATATTTTATTTAACTTTTTCTTAGTAAGGAAAAAAAAAATATATATGTTTATCGCAATTTAAGAATATAAAAGTCATTTTTTCTTGGAACAAAAAAATCTTTGCAAATTTTAGTGATTAATTGATTGGTATATTCATTACCATAAATGGAAAACAAAAAGAAAACAACAAATAGCAAGCTTTTTTTTTATAAATTGATATTGATGCATAAAAAAAATTAATCAAAAAACTTCAGTCATACAGGGTTGACCTCAAAATTAATATATATTTATTAAAATCTTAGATTGGTTTAAACAAAAAGTATATAAACAATTTCAACAAAAATAAAAAAGTATGTTTAGAGTTTTAGCCATAACAAAACGAGAAACATTGGATTAGAAGATCTATTATTTGAAACAGAAAAAAATTGAGATATTTCTTTATATCCATTGATTAATTTTATATCCACTTTTAAAAATTAGGTTCAAAATCAGGGTATAACTAACATATTTTGTAGCAAAATATCGAGTTAATAACATCTAATTTTTAATAATAAAATTACAATGGAATATTAATAATTTGAAAATGCCCTTTCGGCATTAAAAGAATAAGCAATAGGTTAGAGTATATATAGTTTAAAAAGAAATGTCACCATTAATTTTTGTTATTTTATTTATGGATTAATTTTAAACCAATTACAAAAAAATTTGATTCAATAACTTTTTAGGGAGCTTACTAATTTTGCAACAAAGTGCTGAGTTAATAACATTTATAAGGTTCCTGTTTCGGTATCTATGACAAAATAATCGGCAAGTCTCGGTGACTTTCCGATAACATAATGTGAGGAACAAAAAAGAATATCCTAGAAGAGAACCAACTTAAAGGATATACTTATCGCCTCCCCTTGGCGAACCTCAACCTATTTATTTTTAAAGTTTGAAATTCCTTAGTGTCTTGTCGACAACGGATATCAATATGGAAATATCTCATAACATTATTCAAAAATATGATAAAAACAATATTACAATGTAATAGATGTATAAAGGATTACAATGTGATTAACATGTAAAATCAATCAATTGAAATTAACCTAGGCAAGAAAATTATAAAAGTAGTTTTGCATATGGCAATACATTCATTAAAGTATTTTAATCAGTAAGTCAAGACTTCAACACATTTCTCATTTCTAAACATTCTATCTCCTTCAGTAAGGCAGCAACAGCAAATCTTAATCTATGAAATTGAGATGGAGTTACTTCAAATATTTCTTTCTGTCCATTGATTAGCTTCAACTCCATTATTAGAGTTGGTTCAAGAACTCTGCTTAAGGAACTTGTCGATATGGCAACATCAACTCTCCATCTTAAAATTTCAAGCTTAGAGAAACGTGGAATTATGCATTTAGAATCATCGACGTTAGCCGAACACCTGGAACCATAAACAACATTCGAAAGATCCTCAATATAATCGTCAGTAATTTTTAATTCTCGAAGGTCTTCTTTAAAAATATCAGGTTTTAAAGTTCCTCCGGGAAAGCTCAATGCACATTTCAATAGATAAAGCAGAGCTCCATAAATGACATCGATTTCACAATTATCATCGCTTGCATCTTTAATAGCAAGATACCTCTGCGGATTAACTTGTTTTCCTTCAAAATCTTGCACAGCTAATTTTAGAAGCTGGCGGAAGATGTTTCTGTTAATATTCTGTAATAAACGATTTAAGGATTTTGTATGATTAGGAATCCTGGGGCCAAGAAACAGACTTCTCTCAGACCCTGAACTGATAGTGGATGACATTATAGATGAGTAAAATAGTAATAAATTGGTAGCTCAAATATTATTAACACAAGGAAAGACACAGATTTTTCTTTTAAGAAATTGTGAAAACGTGGTTAACATATCAAAACAGACACTAAACTGTATGTACTTGAAGAAAAAAAAAATTTTTTTAATCAGAAATTAACATTTCAGTCAGACAATAAACATGGGGGGAGGTAGCTGGTATTGAAGCTTCCAGCTGCTTATTTCTTCTACAATAATAATCTTTCCGCCTTGTAACAACTGTATTAATTGGACTTTTCTTCAACCAATCAAATTTCACACCTTGACTGCGCTCTCTTTCAACGATTGATTAATACAGCCAGTCTGGTAAAGAGAAATGAAGAAATACGACAAACTTTGACTTCATAACTTCTGCATGACCGCCAATTAGTTTCTCTGTTGCTGTGGAGAGTTACCTTCACCACCCTTGTTTTTACGAACATGATAACAGATCCAACATGATAACAGATCCGTTCTGATAACAGATCCAACAATGTATTTCTCTTTTAGAGTTCATCTTGCTTTCTCTCAAACTGCAGATAATTCGTAGGGTACGTTCGGTCATTTTTTTAAGGTCAAAGTTAGAATTTGTGAGTGATACTGCTCTGAGAGAGGCGGTCTTACGGTGAGGAAATCCTAGGATTGACTGCAATCTGAAAATAGAGTGGAGTATTTCATATCTTATTATACTTCATACTTTTAGATAATGAAAATATTTAGTAAAAAAAGTCCCGCAGTGGACTGATCGTTAAGACATGGTTCCCAACAGATCACCGAAGTCAAGCATCACTGGCTGCTGTCAGTGTGCGGGTGGGGTGGGAGACCACTTGGATCAGTCTGCGTAGGGATCGAGGGTGTGCGGTATTGGTCCTCGTTAAACTGTTCTACCGTAAACTGTTCGANACACGCATGCGCTGAACGATGATCCTACAAGACTCCTAAAACACTCCTTTGAAAGGCCTGTCATATTGCTGTCTATTTGTGACATCCTACGAAATTCTTTCTTCTGACACTTTACGGATATGACTGTTCCAGGAGTGTTCGGAATGTTTTGGGATGTCTTTAGGACGAAATTTGCTGTATGGGATCTAGTGCGACGTAAATGAACTACTACAACATTTAGTAAAAAAAAGGAATTTTTATTTGTATTTCGAAAGCTAAACTGGATCAAAATCAAAAACTAGGAATACCATTGTAAGTTTTTTATAGATCGTGCGAACTCTGGTGGCAGTAGGAAATATAAAAAAAAGTAGTATTTTTGATGATAACTATATTCTCGTCTGAAATTCCTTTCTAGAAAGTTAGTTATTATATTCAAAATATGTTTTTATGCTGAATCGAATGAAATCAAATCAAAAGAACCAATAATTAGGAAGTTATTAAAGCTTTTATGCATAAAAATTCAAAGTTTTGTATTTATACCAATGTAAACATCTGCATTGCTATATTGTCCAGCGAAGTATTGGATCCTATGTATTTTTACTCTTAACTGAATGAGATCCAAACCCAAGTGTGTAGGACTAATATTTTAGAAGTTATAAGAGTTGTTAAGATTTCATTTATTAAAAAGTGTAATTTTTATGCTTTTATTTTATAAGCGTCTTCCACTGCTTTTTCAAGACCAATGAAGCATTGTTTCTTGTGTAATTCTTTACGTTAAATTTAAGAAAATGAGAAGTAAGTCAGTAGAACTTAACTTCGAAGTTTTAAGTTAAGACAATAAGGGGAAAATTACATAATTTTATTTATATTTACGCTCATAACTTCTAAATTATTAGTCCCATCGATTTTCTTTGATCTCATTCAGTTCAGCGTCTGGAATTTAATACGTATTAGATACGAACGATTAGATAAGTACTTACAAGACTTGTCTGGAAAATAAGTACCGCTTTGGAAACCCTCACATAAGAATGCTTTTTCATACCAAAATTAATTTTTGAGAGAAAATGCACTTCGGAAACAACTTTTCTACATAGTTGCCATCATTGTTCAGACATTTGTCACTACGGAAAATGAACTTGCTTATGCCCTTCTATCTCAGCGGTGCCGCAAGAGAAAACGGCCACTAATTAACCAAAAAAATATGCTTAGGGGAAGAATGCTAGCTTCCGTAGACGTAATGTAAATCAGTCATCTAAGGTTTTGTGTGGTCACTGTGTATAAAGGAAAAAACAACATTTAGGGGCAAACAGCAGAAGTTCTTGAAACTGGTTTTCACCCTCCTTTTCTCCCAACTACTACTGAGGGTGGGGGATAAAAAAATTTCTTTTTTAAATTTATAATAGGTTTGTTCTGCATTTTACACTAATGATAGAGGTAATGAACTATTAATAAAGATAGACCTTTAAGAATAAATTAATATCATTCTTGTTGATAAAATCTGTTTACACTTTTCGAGAAGGAAAGAAATAATAAAATGACTGTGCGAGTGGCAGCGTACCCAATCATACTTGTAAAGTTGGCAAACCACCAGTTTACAAGTGACGTACCTCCTGACAATCACTTTGTTTCTTATGCGCATGCGCTGGATATTAGTATATATGATGCTCTGTTAAATCTGAGTACGTTTCTCCCAATGTAAGTAGTTTTTCTGATACAGCATGCCACACCGATCGTTAATTTCATATTCGAAGAGCCGGAATTGAAAATCAATTAGTTCCTCAGAAATAGAATTTTAAAAATACGACTTCTTTAAAACGGCGAAACTAACATGAAGTCGTTCAAATCTTTGACCACTCTCCTGACCAAGCTCTCGGGACTCTATTTTCCAAATTGTGAGTGTCTGGATCTCATTTTGTAAGTCTGAAATCAGAATGCGCAGAAAACAGAAAGTATGTTACTCAGAAAAAGTATACGTTTTTGTGTCTGATTTCGTAACTTAAAATATCATCTATATTAATTGATTAGCATATTTGAAGCTATTAAGATTGAGCCTTGATTGCCCTCGAGCTATTAAGATTGAGTCATAGCTAAAACTGAATAAGTAAACTGAAGTCTTTCTCACAACGATGGTTTGTTGGTGTTTACTTGTCATTTGAATACCTACGGATTTATTTCTATTAAATTTAAAACTTTAAAGTGATCTCCTTTTTGAAAATCAGCATAAAATACATAAGTAGACTGAATAAACGTTCAAAAAGTTATAAAATGTTTACAACATGTTATATCATAGTCTTCGACATTTTTTCTTCGGTCTTGCACTCAAGTCAACACAAAATGTTCTAATGTTTCATAATAGGAATGGAATGCTCAGGTTTCTAGATGTGTTCTTTATTATCATTATGCATAGTGATTTTTAAAAAATATTCAAAAATAAAAACTAATCGAGTTTTTTTTTCAATTTTTTTAAAATTTGAACAATAATACTGATATTTGTAAATTTATTATTGATTTTAAATGAAATTTGCATGTAAAGCAACCAAAATTTATTTGTCGCACTTTTATTTTTATAAATAGTCCTAAGGGTACTGTGATATGAGACTAATAATGAATAATTAAGTATTTTCTAATGTTTAATATGTATTTTCTAAAATTTCTTCTTATTTTTTTTAATATAGTGTATGCACTATAGTATTTTTTGTAAGGAGAAATATATTTCGAAAAAAAAATTCTAATTGTGTGTTTATTGTTACAATTTCTTTTCAAGTTCAACAGAGTAGTTTGTGAGTATGTTTCAAAAGCATCCAAACAATCAAATTTTCTTTGTTGCTTCAAACACTTAACAATGAATAAAAATTTAAAGAAATTAAACAATGCAAGAAATATATAAAGTCACGTAACAAAAAGAATTCACTTTCTAAAAAGCTTTTGAGTGAGTTGGGCAATATATTTTCAACTGCTCTTTTGCGATTAAATTTAATTGATTATGGCGAGAATTTTCTCGAGATTTTTCAGGTACATTCGCAAAAAACTGTAAGTAGTATAATTTTGTTCATTTCATTTAATTCAATTAAAAATTATAACAAATACAAAGATATTTTATTTTAAGTTTAAATTACAGTAATTTTCGGGAGAATCGCCTCATAAACAATTAAAATTGTGTAAAAATAATGTGGATCTGAAACAAACTACTGTAAAATGAAATAGTCCTAAAAAATTGCTCAGATTTATATTTGGCGAAGACTTTGGAAAATCTGATATTTGGCTAATAATTTTAATATATATACTGTGTTTTTCTATTTTATAGCCATTTTCCGGCATATGCCAGAATTTTAAAAATACTTAGCAAATGCCTTACGAAATAGATTCATATATAACTCTGTGAAATTGAATAGAAATACCGATTTAGAGATTTAAGCTAATTTTTTCAAAGCTCCTAGCCCGTAGGGCTATCTAGTTTTCCATCGAATATGTTGAAAAACAATAAGGGAGGAAAGGGGGTTAGATGTTAACGCAAGCGTGAGATATATAAATGAAACATTATTTAACCGAAAAATAATAGGCGTAAGAAAAAATCGCAGTCTGGGTTAAATACTATAATACAAAATACTAAAAATTCGAAATATACAAGAATATATGATAGAGCATGATTATAATACTGATAAATATATACAAGTTACGAAAAAATACATAGATACACGAAGAGTGAAACAGATTTGAAATGAGAAAGGCCCTTTTTAGAGCCAGCAATACATCGTGCAATCACGATCGAGTAGCGGGCGCAACTCTTGAGTCCCTGCATCACTCCCTCGCCTCTTATTAGGTGCAGAGTGATACAGTTCTTCTTGAGTATATTAAATTAGATTAATTAAAATGTTTCGACAGTATACCGTCGCTTATGAAGAAGGCGGTTGCTGGGCTAAACTTCGCATTATCGTTAATTATATCGAAATCGAATGTTTTATTGAAATTACAAGTAGTGTAATTTTCTGCATCTTTAAAGAAGGATGCATTTAGACGATTTAAATAATTATCTAGGGGGTCTATTTCTCGGTGAATTGTTTTGTTACTTTCATACCAGGGTGTAGGGCGTACCTGTTATGACCGTAGGGTTTTATATTGGCATGTGTTAAGTTTCTTAATTTGACATTTGATCAGGATTTTCCATGCTGGGGAGGGCGAATCGATATATTTCATTACATCATGTAATATTTTATACAAATTTAAAGTTGTAGATAAAAAAAAATATAAGCTTTTTTTCACTACAACCAAATAAAAATGTATCAATACACGCTGAAAATTTGTTTATCGTTATTTTGTTTACTCGCTTTTTTTAAAAAATATTTATATGAAATTTTTAAAAAATTTTTATTTTGATGAATTTTTTTCTACTTCTTCAACTGAAAATTTCGGTGAATGCGCCTCATAAAGAATTAGAATTGAGTAAAAATAATATGCTCCTGAAACAAACTACAGTAAAATAGTTTTCTATGGGGAAAAAATAATCATAAAAATTTTTAAGATTTGCATTTGGTGAAGATTCTCGAAAATTTGATATTTGGCTATTACTTTATATATATTTATACTGTGTTTATCATATTTTAGCCATTTACCGGCAAATGCCAGTACAGTATGCGATGGTTGAGATTACAAAATATAAACTTGTTTTATGACAGAATAATTGCAAAGTTTTGGCATTTTACGAGTAACCGCTTGTGAGAAATTTAAAATTTATTCTGTAAATTCCTGGTAAATGACCATGAGTCACACCATGCCTCTGGGCTAACTTGTGCTCTTCGACAAGACCATCCCCATAGTTATTATTTCCTAACATCAACCAAAAATTACCTTGGAAAGACCATGTACTGCAGCGATGCTTAACCTCTGTGCAGCTGTCTGGTACTGCACCGTGGATCAAATGGCACCAGGTCACCCAAGAAACATTAAACCCTTGGGGACGGTTGATTCAGAAAAGCATTCGTACAAAATCAGAATCAAGTTGTAATTAAATAAAAAACGGTAACTTAAATGTAGTCGTTGCTAATTATTGTTAGCTTAATCGTATATATAATCAATGCAGCAGAAGCTTTGATCGACGCAGGTTTATACTCTGAGTCTGGCATATAATCAATATTAGTTCAAAGTATAACTAAATAATTTTATTTTGAACAAAGTAATGGTGAATTAAATAAATCAAACAATTATAACTCCGCCCACAAATAAACTGCTAAAGAATTACTTTGATTACCAGTTTCATCTTTTTACCCTGGTTGATACGCATGGTTACCCTGGTATTGTATCGACACTAGTGCTGTTGATATTATCATAGAAAACTGTGGAATTCCATCACATTATTTTCCTGGAATAACTTACTTCGCCGTCAAGGCTCAAATTATGAGTCTTGAAAATAGACAACTCGATTTGGATATGTATAAAAGAATTAGAGATTTAGCTCGTCAGCACAAAGATGATACTGATAGAAAAAGACAGATGTACTTTGGTATTCTATTCGAGGCCTCAACTAAAGTAATAGAGGATAAAGAGCGACAAATTTCTGAACAAGTAGACATCTCAAACAGCTTAGTTGAACAGATTCCCGAACCAGCACAAATTTCCGACTGTAATGCCTCAGTTCCTGCCATAGCCGAATCATCTGAAACACCAGAGTCTGTACAGAAAATGGAACTAGAAGAGACCCCGGTCTCTATCACGGAACCCCAACCGGACCCCCCGAGTGAACCGCCTAGAAAGAGGAAAAAGAAGAAGAAAAAGACTGACAATGATGCTAAAGACTCCATGACTACCCCGAACCAAGACTGCTCTTCTTCAGAATCTTCTGCCCAGCCGGAAATCACGACTCCTACCGCATCGGAAAAGGTGCCGGTAGATCAAGACCTAGCTCCCGCCATCCCAGCGGATCCAGTTCCGGCAGACCCCGAGGAGAATTCCGCTTCGGTTGAAGCCACGCCCACCACAACTATGGACACTCCCCCCAACAAAAAGCTGAAAACCCTCATCAGAGGATTACAAGCAGACACAGATATCCCAGTCTTAGAAAGATATCTCATCGAATTTGGACTTCAGCCTGAGAAAATTATCCAGCTTAGAAGAAGAAGTGGGCAGGAGCTTAGGCCCCTCCCACTTTTCCTCATCATCCAAACTGACACGCCCACCAGCAGAAAAATCTTCAACATTAGTTCCATGTTGGAGAAAAATGTTACAGTTGAAAGATTCAGAGGAGGACGATTCCAAACACAATGTTTCAAATGCCAGAAATACGGACAATCCCAGCGCAACTGCCAAGCCACCGAACCAGCCTGCATGAAATGTGCTGAAGCGCACTTCTCGTATATGTGTACGAAACCCAGATCCACACCTGCCAAATGCATAAACTGTGATGGTGAGCACCCGGCCTGTTTTTCGGGCTGCGGTGCAAGACCCAGGAAAGTGCCGCAACCAAGGAACTCCCATCCCGTGAAAGCTACCGACAAAGCCACCAGATTTTTACAGCTCTTCAAGGAGATGAAGGAACTTTTGAAGGACGAAGAGCTTCTTAAGCTTCTACGTTCCTTACTCCCAGAGTCCCAAAACTGATGAAAGATTCTTTTCTCCCAGGATTTTTTCTATCCTGACGTCACAGCCCACTGCTGTGAATTTCTTTTTTTTTATCCCATTTCTTATAGGTACAAGACTACTAGTTTTACGACCGAACAGAATATGATGAATCAGTTGGTGGCCCTTCGGGCCAAATACTGAGATCCCACAAATACCAAGCACCAAGTATTTGTGACAGTTATTATCATCGACTCAGGGAGCCAAGCTCTAGCTACTATGTCTGCCGAGAGACTTCGCCGAGGAGGGAAGGTTTTCCAACCCGGTCGCAAGCCAACTCCCGATGATGACTATAACTCAACAGCTCTCAAGGAAGGTGCCTTGAACATGATTCGCGTCCTTAAAGCGCTCAATGATGCTACCGCTAATAGGACGGCCCAAGCCACCGAGACATCCAAGGACTCATTAGATGCTCCCCCGACAACTGAGGAAACGCCGGCCACTGATGATACACCCGAGCAGCCATCACAGCAGTCAGACGAGACTTCTACCTCAGAGCCCGAAACAACAGCGATTGAGCAGATAGCCGAACCGATGGAAGAAGCGCAAGCCTCTGAAGTCGTAACTAAGTTAAATGCAGACTCAAATAGACCTGAGAAGAAGAGAAAGAAAAAGATCACTTCTCCTGCTTCCTCTACGATTCCAGTGCCTACACCACCATCAGAGGATAAGAACTCCAGTGATGCCCCCCCAGCCTCCCACTGCTGATACTATGGCTAATCCTGATAGAAATTACAAAGCTCTTATCCGAGAACTACCAACGGATTTCAACACTGATTTTATTCCTCTAGAAATAGAGAAATTGGACTTAAAAGTGGTCAAAATCATCCAGTTCAAAAAGAGAGAGGGTGGCGCCTATAGGCCCCTACCACTTTTCCTTGCAGTCATTAGAGAGACGACCAATCACCTTCAAGTTCTCACCCTCAGTTTGATTCAGCTGTACCCGGTCAACGTGGAACGTTTCCGCGGCGGTCGGAGACCGCAGCAATGCTACAGATGCCAGGGCTTCGGCCATGCACAACGGACATGTTCTGCTCCTCCCAGATGCCTAAAGTGTGCGGAAAGTCACCGCTCCTTCAAGTATCAAAAGGACAGAGAGTCTTCACCAAAATGCTGCAACTGCCCCAGCAGAAGGACTTGAAGCCGTACTAGTGTACGAAATCTGCAGCTCATCGCCTAGTATCCATTGTGAAAGAACTATTGCAGAATGAAGAGGTATTCTTCAAACAGGGAAAGAGCCCTTCATCCCACTCAAGACTACTACACTTATGGACTTTTACATCTCTCCTCTCGGTGTCCAGCTCCGAAATTTCTGAGCAACTCACTCAGATGAATGAGTTAGGGACCCTTCGGGGTCGATACTTAGATAATCATCTTACATAAGCATAAGATTTGTGACAGTCGGAGCGAAAGGGTTAAATTATATAAATTTTTTTAAATGTGAAACACTTCTTTCGGGTTTGCGTGACTCTCTATGGACCAGCGGTAAACTTTGCAAAGATTTAACTTTACAAGGATGCCAACTGCTCCGCTTTCTGCAAGAGTTTTGATAAAATGGTAGCGAATTGAAAGGGAAAACATGTAGAATTAGGATAGTTAAGCCTACTTCTTGAAAGAGTAACAGCGAAATGAATGCAAAATAAGTAAATTTTATATGACACTTACAATTTTCGACAGGATTGCTCCCGTAAGTTTATCTTTTAGATATATTTTCTTTTATAAATTAGGTTATTACAATTCACGAGTATTTATTTTCGCACAACTTAATTTAACTCAAACATTGTCCTGATTGCATCCACTTCACTTGCACGGATGTACGAAGTAAGAACTCAATTCCCGTCTTTATTTATTTAATTATTCAATCATAACAATCAACATAACTTATTGAAAAATATTTATAAAGAAAAGAACACAATTTTAAGCTATGCATGTTATCTTGCTGTAAACAGTTATCTGGGCTTCAGAACAGTCAAAAACTAAAATATTTTAAAGGTTATCAACATTTTTTTAAAAATTGCCGATTTGGCGACATTTTTTCCACCTAGATGAAAATTATCAAATCCAATGCCTCATCATAATTTTTTTACATTTTTTTATGAGCCCAGATAATGCATAAATGTTGCAAGTTTTCAAATATTACAGAATTTGGACACAAAAAATTAAAATTTTCTCAAAACTGTTGATTTCTCCATATTAACGTGTAGCGCCATTTTCTGAAAAACAAAAAGCTTTGTTTTAAATGCATGAATTCTTAAATGACTAATTTTCAAATAAAACAAATATTCATACCCTCAGAACCATTCTTTTTTATGAGTTCCTTTTCCATTTTCATTTTATTATATTTTGGTATTCTATGATTCTTAAGATTCTATACTTAGGAATGTATTAAAATAAACAATGATATTTTTTCTTGCTTTATTTTAATAATTTTAATTTCGCGTAATCTCCAACTTGTACCATATTTTAAGAATTTAAAAACTTGCATCGCTGATTTACCTTTAAAAAAATTTAATGTAGCAGATTGTTTTAGCATACTACTAAACACCCCAGAACATTTTTTTTTTCAGGAATCAAAAAAACATTAAGAAAGGCATATATTCAAATTAAAACTTCTCTCATTGTTATATTAAATGACGCTAACAAGACTCATTTGTTATTTATAGCAACAAAATATATATATTTCTCGATTTAAATCATCATTTTCAAAAAGCATTTTTTTAATGACAATAATCGGTTAGTAAAAATTTATTAAACCCCTGATAAGTAAATATTAAACTTTAAGATAAACTTTCCGTTTTACTTCACTAAATCAATGGAATGAGAGTTATAATTATAAAACATTACTTCGAGTCATTATATTGTACTTTGTTATGGAAAACTGGATTTTGTTATTGTATTTTGTTATATTGCATTTTATTTGTGGCTTAAAAAAGATGAGTTATGGCGGTACAAAAACACTGAATACAATTTTTTTTAAATAAAAATTAAGAACTTAAAAAATGTCCAAGAATGTTCTTTTTTGAAAAATAAAAAGAACTGTAGATTTTATTCCACAGTGCAACAAATTGGCATCTTTTTCTTGCTTTTCTTTAACTTCATGCCAATATGAATGGTTAACTGAATGTAAACAATACAAAGTTTCCTAAAACCGGAAAAAATTTAGAAAACTTCCGGTGTATCCTTCCGCTTATGTTATGTTTACGAAACGATGCGTGATCAGGCTTAATACTCAAGGAAATTATATTATTGTAAGTTTGGTTCAAATTTAAGTGAACTTTTACTATGCATAAGAGTTTTCCGCAATTTATGAATTCTACATACCTGTCAACTTTTGATTCTTTCAGAGATGATTTTCCGCAGTGGTAGTATAATGGAATTTAAGTTACAATTTTAGACAGAAACATACGCAGTACTGTTTGTCTACGATAGGTACTCTGAAAGACATTCATCTGGAGGGGTGTCGGTGACTATGGTAACGAGGTATGATTATTTCAAGTAGGGGTGCGGGGTCCCTCTTTAGGACTGGTTTCGGTGGGAGAAAAGGAGACTTCTTTCTTCGGTCTATTGTATTAGCCCTAGAGAGAAGAGAAATGAGCATTCGCGACTGAAACATCGTTTAACTTTATTTTTTAATCGTTTAACTTTTTTTTTTCTAATGGCAGGCACTGAATTTGAATCNTGTTATGCATGCAAATGTCAGTAATTTTTATATTTTTTGTACTGATATTGAATTTTTCTTTAATAAAAGGAGTTTTCGGATTATCCGTGTTTTTCGATTGTCCGTGTGACCTGTCCCGGTGATTAACCCGGGTAATCGGGAGTACACTGTATTAAACTTTAGGATAAACTTTCCGTTTTTCTTCACTAAATCAATGAAATGAGAGTTACAATTATAAAACATTACTTCGAGTTATTATATTGTACTTTGTTATGGAAAACTGGATTTTGTTATTGTATTTTGTTATATTGCATTTTATTTGTGGCTTAAAAAAGATGAGTTATGGCGGTACAAAAACACTGAATGCAATTTTTTTTTAATAAAAATTAAGAACTTAAAAAATGTTCAAGAATGTTCTTTTTTGAAAGCTTACATTTCACTACCACTTTAAATATAGAAATAAAATTTTACGCCAAATGCGTAAAAGTTAGCAGGTATGATTTTAATACGTTGTGATCCTTAAACAAATTTAATTATTAAATTAAGATTACAACTTAATATAAATTTTATATTAAACTAATAATAAGTTGTAAATTAATATCACAACATAACTAAATGGTAAGGTTTTTAACATGTTTTGAGTATTATTTCTTGTTTGGCTATATTAGTGAATAATATCGCTATTGGTTATTTTCTGTATAGCATTCTAGCATGCTGCTTGCGGAGATTTCCGTATTCATTTGTTGTTTGTTTCATTGAAATTTAAATTGAAACAACGAGTTACATTGTAGACACAACAAATATAATAATATTTGGTGGTGCGTTTTTTCAAACTTAGACATAAGAACCATTCGGCCGTAGTCATCCGGAACTCTTATGACCAATATTAACTCCAAGCGCCATCCGTGCTCAGCTTCACACTGTCAACTATCCATTTAGATAAACCATTTTGTTGAGGTGTGGATGTTGTTTTGGATGTCAACAAAAAAACAATCTCGAGTTCTTGAGCTGCTCGACTTCCAGATTAGAAAGTTTGCAACTGCTTACTACAGCTTATTCAGCGAGGTGATGTTTTTAGACAGGTAATTTTGCTTTCAATAAAACATATTAATTATGTGACTTCTGAGCTCATGTCTGCTGTATTTCATAAGGAATTGAAAGTATAAAGTAATTCTGGAGAGTTTGAAAAGAAAATTTATATTTTATTTATTTTTGGATATATTCTTACAAAAAAAGGTGACATGGTCTCTAGATTTAGGAAGAACTCGTCGTTTCGCCGGCCGGATATGACCCCTTTTTTACTTGATTATTATTGTTTGTTCTTCATGCAAGCAGTGCACCATCATACGTTAGTGTTAGCCTCAGCCTATACGTTAGTGTTAGCCGGATTAACCTATAGGCACACTAGGAACGTGCCTAGGGCCTATGAAATTCAGGGGCCTACGAAAAACTTGGGAGAAAGAAATTTGCTGACAAAAATAATTTAGCTTTAAAAACAACAAGAGTATTTTGCACAAAATTATGAAGATACAAATAAAAATATAATATTTTTCGGTAATAAATTATTTTGCAGAATCTTATGATCTAATATATTACTTTTTTGCGATTTTTGGATTCAACGAAATCTTGTATTATGCTGTCGAATTCCAAACTACGCAAAATGTCGTATTCAATAGACATAAGTGCGAGCGATGCCAAACGATCTTGATTCATTGTTGAACGCAAATAATTTTTTATCAATTTTAATCTGGAGAAAGATCTTTCTCCTTCTGCATTTGATCCAAGAATCGACAAATATATTCTTAATGCAATGTGAACGTTAGGAAAATTATTCACAAGTTTATCTTTAATTTACCTTGCAAATTTATTTATAAATAATTTCAAGAGATTTACTTTTGACAATGTTAATTTCCTTCACTTAGTTATCATAGTCATCAAAACTATGAAGCTATTTGTAGTATAAATATTTCTTGTAATTAATCTCACTATCAATTTCACTGTTTTCTTTGCTGGTTTGTTGTTGTAGTGTTGACGTGAAGTGTTTGCATAG